CCCCAGCCAGCATGGCTGGTTGCGGAATTCTGGGAGTTGGTCCACACATCTTCCAAGTTGCCAAGGTTGAGGAACCGTATTCTAAAGGAACGAATGGGAAAGCATGAGGCTGGGGCATGGAAATAGAAAGAAGCACTCCGGAAAAATGCCTCCCCAGCTGCTTGTAATCTTGAACAGAAGCATTCCACGTGGCACGTTTTATTACCGTTCTATTTCCTTAGTGCTAGAATGGTAGACTTAATAGACTGATCCACACTTTGGAGACTCCTATTGAAATAAATGGAGCTTGAAGTAAATTGCGCTAAACATGTTGATTCCAATGACTGAGGTTCCAAAGTATTGCTGAATCTGTATCCATCCAAATGTATTTCAGTCCTTTCTGTTAAGTGTTTTTGAGCATTTTGTATTTTACTCTTTTGCCTTCAGAAGGAAACTAGTTCAGGGGAGGTTTTGGGGAGCCGAGATGAAGAACCCGAGCAGAGGCACAGATCGCACAAGGACGAAGATCCAGAGAAGGAGAAGAGAAGACGGCACAGGGAGAAGAAAGAGCACAAATCCTCTGCTGCGGAAGAAAAAGAGAAGCATTTGAAATTAAGAAATCCTAAGGATGGGGAAGAAGATCGTATGTCTAGGAAACATAAAGAGCGATCACACCATGAGGATAGATATCACAAGGAGAACCATGAAAGAACAGAGGAAGTGGAAGGTGAAAAAAAGAAGAGAGACCGCAAGGTTTGCTGATTATTGAGATTACTTGTTAGTTTTTCCTGAACGCAGCTTTATAATGACATCTCTGAGGATAAAAATAATAAGAAAAGAAATACCCCATAATACAGTATTCCACAAGTTAATGGCATTTTGTTCTGTTTGCTTGTTCTCAGCACAGCGACCGCAGGAATGAAGGGAAAAGGGAAGAAGAGGAGCCGGACCGTCTGCGTGAAAGGCATGTGCGCTGTTTAAATATCGGGTGCTCTGGCTGAAAACGCTGTGTCCTTCCTATGAAGTAAACCCCACTGAACTGCAGGATTTACTTCCCAACAAGCACCCTTAGAATTGTGCAACCTGCGTTTTAAGTCCCTGATTTCCTTTGCTTTCCAATGACTCCCCAAGAATGCCCAAAGGCAAGTGTGTCAGTACAACATGAGCATTTTAGCGGCTTCTGCCTCACTTTGATTGATGATCCAGGAGGTGAGAGAACTATAAAAAATTATTGTTGTTGTTATTAATTATTCCACCTTTTTTTTAAAATATAAAACTCAAGGCAGCAAACATTCCTAATACTCCTGCCTTCTCTTTTCCCCATAACAACAACCCTGTGAGGTGGGTTGGACTGAGAGAGGGTGACTGGCCCAAAGTCACCCAGCCAGTTTTCATGCCTAAGGGTAAATAATAAAGTTGTATCAATTTTATTTGAAATGTTTGATCATGAACAACACATGATCTCCATATTAGTATTAAATTGTGAACCACACATTTGTAATGAAAAATAGTTTGATGTTATTCTGACAATGACGTGGACTTGTGTTTCTCACAATACGAAAGAGTCATAAATTACAAGCCCTGTGTCATAACAACTGAAGCACAAATCCCTTATCCCTATTCTCTTCCTTTTTTTCTTTTAAACATATAAAGCAGAGGTATTTTCTAAGGAAACCATATTTCTTTGATGGGCACTTCTTTTAATTCAGTATAATTCTTTTTTTCTTTAGGAATACAAGAGAGAAAATAAAGAAACATGGCAAGAGTGAAAGAGAGGATGGAAAACGAGTGGTAAGAAAGTTTTATTTGGGGTCTGAAATGAAGGAATATTATTGGAAGAGAAAATGCAACAAAGGAGAAACAGAAGTATTAGGAGACGAGAAAATAACTACCAATCAAAAGAAAGGCACAGCAAAAGTTACACATTTTAAAAATCCAAATAATTTCAGTAGGTTTCTAATGGAAGCTGGATTTTGTTTATTTTGTTTGTTTATTTTTTCTGCTGGTATGTGGGTTTGTATTTGGGCTTTTATTAATTTAATTTTGAAAAAAACAGTATTACTATGAAATGTTTAAGTTTATAATCAGGGAGCCAAAACTTTGCTCTAGGTAAACAAAATTAAATTTATACAAACACTCCTTCAGATACTGTGGCCAAATAACTTGGGATATAAATACCCTAAAAACTTAAAATAGGTTTTACTGAGCTGTGTATACCTTAATTTTAAGTAAATGACTTTCAGAAAGAGATGTTTAAATATAGAGTATTAGAATATTAAAGATTAAAAACATAACATAGAATATTAACGATTTAAAACATAGGTACAAAGATTAATTCAATTATCTCATCGTTCAAGTTCATTGTCACATTTCAATGCTTTTCTCTTACCAGTTGTTTTATATATTGATACATTAGCACCACAAAAGTGATGACTCTTCAGCACCACATCTCAAAAGGCAAGCAAATCAAGAAGGTGGAGAAAATGTAAGGATCGCATACTATTCTATTGTTTTTTTAAAAACACAAATGTCCCAAAGAATTCTCTCTTCTGAGATAAATTCTGTTCATGCTTTTACATTCCCCTGCTACTTCATGACTTAACTCTGCTCTTTTTTTATTATTACTGTCTTAAGGAACTGAAAAAGGAAACCTCTTACGAAGATTATAATTCTGTGAATTATGAAGATGATTTTGAGGTGAGTGTGAACAATAACTTTTGAAAAGAGCTCAGACTAAAAATAGGTCATTCAAGTGGGATAGGAAGAGGGTATTTTGCATTGCATGACTTCATAGTCATATTTCGTTTGCTTGTTAATTCCGTGTTTTGCCCACTTAAGTTGGGAGACTCTTTGCAGATTACAAGCAGAGCAACAAAATGTCCACAGTACAATTCCATTTACATATCAATACACAGTCTAAAAATTAAACTACAGATGACATCATTTCTGTTTTTAATAATTTATGAATGCCTAAGGCACCAGGCCAGAAACTGGGAGACTGAGAGTTTGGACCCTGCCTTAGGCACCAAGCCAGCCTGTATAATTCTTTATACAGATTTCTACACAAGGTTGCTTGTCAGGTAATGAAACTTCTAGAGAATGCTTGTACTTAAAAACCTTCAGCCATTCTAAATGGGGTTCTTTGTTGAAGTCCTGCATATTTGGAGGGACACATTAAGGACACCTACTTGAAAGCAAAGCACACAAATATTTTTAGAGTATTTTCGTAGTCATTATTGGTGCTGAATAATGAACAGTCATCCTTTTAAATCCATTGTGAGACAAAGAGAAAAACTTAGAAGACACGGCACTGTAGAATGGTGGTCCTCTAGTTTAGGTCCAAAAGAAAGGATGGTCCACGTAAGTACTGCAGGAGATCCCTGGTGTGGGCACCAGAATTAATATCTTTAAAATAGCATCTCACCTAAACAAGAGTTTGTCATCCTTGCTTGAAATCTCACAAGATTTTGACATTTTTCCTCCCTAAATCTTACAAGATTCCCACAGGAACACCAAAACTGCACGAGATTTGCCAACCTCACTACATTTCAGCCGCTTTTTAATTAATTATTTACTGTTGATTTCTGTGGAAGCTTTTTATACTAAGGTCCCTGCAGATGCCACTGGCTTATATGGTGGTCCTCAAAAACTTTGGATGTTCATGTAGTGATCCACATAAAGAAAACAATAGGGGACTGCTGTTGAAAACAAAATATATTGTGGGTCATCTGAAGCGTCCCTGTTGAAAGGGATAGCCTGTTTGTGTTTTTTTTAAAAAAGTGATCACTGCTATTCTTTTTGAAGGACTATG